TTAAAAAACTAACCCTTAAGCCCAGTGTTTTTAAACTTTCAAACATAAAGATAGCCATCAACAAAATGTTAGCCATCACAATGCATGTGATATCATCAACTATATTAATAATATCTATGGTTTAGTTTTGCAACTCCTTCCTCGTAAGTCAGTAATGCCACTTGTAAAATAAGTTTTAAGAAAGATTACTTTGTGTTGCTGCCCTTTGCTTTCTTCACAAGAGTTAGTAACTGTAGGCTAATTAGTGATACATTTTTAATTATTCAATATAACTCCTAGAATTTGAAGAATACATCCTATTTTATTTTCCAGTCAGCTCTAATTTGCCTTATGTTATTTTTTTCCTATCATGCACCAACGTCTTCTTTACATTATTGCTATATCTTCAGTGTTTGGTTTACAATACTTTCAGTATTGGTGTTACAGTTTTGCAGTGGTACAAACACATGATTGTCTTCTGAATGTTTGATTTTCAAAGAAATTCAGTGTTTTAGTATTTCACACTCACTTAGCCCTCTTGGTATAACTGGCCATTTACTCAGAAGATGGATAAATACATGTTCAACATTCCACATTTTATTCCAGATTTACTGAATTATCTAAATGAGAATTCATTGTCAGTCTAATGGTTCAAAATTACTGCATGATTATTCAGGCAGTTAAGTAGAATTAGGCACTCATTTGATTCACCATTGCAATAAATAAGCAAGTTTGGTCCATGGGAACAATGATCAGTGAAAAAGAGAAATGCTTAGAGCCTCACTGACACAGTTCACTTCCTGTTACTGTTTCACTGACCTTACAAAAGTTCCCCACTCTCCTCTGTCATAACACTAAAAAGGGAATATGCAACGAGGGAAGAAAAATCCTTAAGACAGGATTGAGGTTGTTAAACAAGAAGGTAATCAAATGCATGTAACATGGAAACAGAAAGAGATTAATGGGGAAAGGAAGAGGCAAGCTTTCAGAGAATTATAAAAGAATGGAGAGGTGGAGGAGAGGAGCATGTAGGAAGAGTACCTTCGCAAACAAAGAATGAAATCCATACCTAGTATTCAATTTAAACCTGCTATTTAAAGTATATGATGGTAAATGGTAAATGTGTAGTTATTAGGGAATAGGAAGTCTTCCCCAATGGTGCTAATAGAGGAGATAAATTCGATCAAGTAACCTTGGTAATGTGTATGAAAATGACGTAATGGAACCCAACATTTTCTACAACTAATCCATGTTGATGAATCAATAACAAAAAAAGAGACTAAAATAATAGGGGTTACAAAGATAAAGAAATGGCAATACATTCACAGTAATGACAAATAATGTGAATTAGTACAACTCTTATGAAAAAATAAAATGTAGTACTCCTTCAAAATTTAAAAATGTGATCCAGTAATTGTATTCTATTTGCTTCTATGTCCACAACTGATTCAATACGTCTGCTGAAGTGATGCCTGCATAGACATTTACTGTAGCAGTCTTCAATCATCAAGAAGCAGAAACAGAAACTATATCCATTAACTATAACCTGGAAAAATTGCAGTTACTGGGAAAGCAAGCAGGTACCATGGCTGGAGAACCCAAAACTGTTCAGTCTCCTGGGAGTAGAGATTAAAATGGTATTTATCACAATTGGAGTGATGAGGAAAGAGGGAGAGTTCATAAAAAGTCTATTAATGGCTACTAAATTATTGCTATAAAATTGAAAGGAAAAGGAAGTCCTGGTGTTGTATTGTATGGCAGGAAATCAATAAATATCAGCCATGCCATGTGTTTTCAGAAAGTCTTAAAACCTGAAAATATTCTAATGTAATGACTTAACAAATATATAAATAAATATGTCTGTATAACCCAACTCAAACACTCCACAGTGAATATATAGTATCCATTGGAATATTACATGTTACGCCATTAATATGAAGAATTGCATGTAATCATTTATCATTAACTCCTCATGGGAATCATTAATAGTAAGTAGGAGTGGACTGGAGATGGGCTGGGCAGAGGTGAGGGATGTGGGAGAAGGCAAGAATAGAAGGAAGAGAGATGGGAGTGGGGACTGTGGTTGGAATATAAAATGAAATAAAAATAAAAACAATGAGAAAAATTAAAAGCCAAACTTGAATTAAAGCAATGTATGCATTGTAACAAGAAAGTTTAAGTTTGAAGGTTTTCAACAGAAATACTTATTTGAAACAATAAAAGCATTTACCTTAACTTGAATAGCATGCAATATAATCAGATATTGTAGCATCTCTTGGTGTCTCATAAATTTGTCCTTTTTATCTACTGATTAAAAGTTAACAACTCGGTAAGATTTAAAGAATGAATGAATGAATGAGTAAATAAAGTTAAGCCTTCCTATTTTCTATTGGAGGACAAATAACTGGTGTTTGTCTGTTGCTTAACCTTCTCTAATCTACTTCAAGGAGAGGCTTGGGCTTTGGGGATCTCTTTGGACACCCTTTTGCGAGGTTTGGAAGTGCTCTTTTGCATTTTGATAGCCACCATTCACTTCATCATTGGCAATCATCTGTCAGATACTTTTGGAATATCAAACAAGTTTTGCCTAGAGTCATCTTGGCTGTATATGAGCCATCTTGGAAATCTGTGGCTATGCAGGCTGTAGGCAAATATCCTCCTGGCTTACAGGAAGTCACTAGTGCTTTATGAAACACCAAAGGAAGAGAACAAATTGCCTTTGCAGTGACTGTTTTTCTCTATCAAAAAGGTTTTGCTTACACCTATTCTATTTCTCTCTGCTCGCATCAAAACCAAGAATAATGTTGTCTATAAAAGTAGATAGCCAATGTGAGCTCCCTCTCAAGCACTGACAACTGGATTAGAGTTTCCTGTGCCATCCCAGCTTGACTCTCTTTAGCTTTTCTGAACATCTACTCTGAGGGTTTCTCTTTTCGACTGATCTAAAAGAAATGAAAGCACAACCCTATTCAGAACTCACTGTCCTTGAGTGTCCTAAAATTATTCATGATCCCCAGTTGTGCTAATGTTTGTGCAATGATTTTGGTTATGTGTTTACAAACCCCACAGTGAACATCTTTCTTCCTTACTTTTTTTTTGAATAGGGTTATATTTAGTACCTGCTGTTTTCAACTGACTGGACTGCTATTGAAATTCTTAGATATCAGAAAATGTCCCTTCAAGGATCATCTCACTATAATGGAAAGAATTTCAGCTCAAAATGTAAATTAGGAAAGGAGTTTATGAATGTCCTATATGCAGGTTCCTGAGACAAGGGGCAGCTCCATTGGTGGGTGAGGATGACCCTGACTGCAAAAGCTACATGCAAATAATATCAGAAATGATGATAGATAGCATTTACTCAAGTTTTGTTATTTCCCAGAAACTCACTTAAGTGCTGTGAAAGTACTAACCCCTGTAACCTCACAGTAACTTCACAAGGATCTGTTAAACTTATTGTGCAGTTGAAGAAACTGAGATATTATGTCTAGCAAGTCTCACACCAAGAATTGGTATGAACATTCTTTGCACTGAGGAAGAATATTTACAGTACTTCAGCGTAAATTATATTTCTAAGACAATGATGACAAAAATAATGCCATCTTTCTCCTGATTAGGACCTTTCCTTTCTAATGAACAAATCTAGATTACTGAGTATCAATAAAAGTATATTTTACATAAAATATTTTGTTTAAAATGTTTTGTCAACTAACATCTTTTATTCCTGAAAATGTGTAGGTTTTATTATAAAGTTGAGGTTTACTAATGGGGGATAGGTTTTGAACCTATAGGTAATCACTAGTAAGCTGTTATTGACTAGGTTAAGCCTCAAGACACAAAACAGAATTCAAGTGTACTCTCTTCTAGTTGACTTTCCTGGGGTTACTGTAATGTATGGGACAGGACAACAGAATGGGAGACTCTTTGGAGGAAAGAAAATAAAGAGAACAAATAATATAACACATGAAAATGCCACAATGGAACATACAAATTTAAAGCCCCACTTTAAAGGATTAATTTTAAAATCTCATATTCTATCCTCAGCATGTTTTCGTCTAGGATGTGTTTACTATTAGTATTCGGGAATCTGTACTGGCCTGTCTTTGGGGTTCTGACAGGATACGCCCTCAGTTGCAGCCTCTAAGAACACCACCTGTGCACATTCACTATATTCCCTTCTAAAGGGCCCTGCCCACCTCTCATCCTCTTTCTTTTTTCCTCTCTTTGTCTGCCTGACCCCCACTCTGTCTCTCTGCTTCTCTCTCCTCTGTCCTGCTGCTCCTGTCGCTGGAGGAGGTTGGTCTCCCCCATTCCCTTTTCCCTTTTTTTTGACGCCCTTCTTTAATAAAAAGCCTCTCTGCTTGAACCGTGTCACATGGCATCTTTGTAACATGAATAAATAAATGACACAGAGTCAGATATTGGGGTTCAAGCTGAATATCAGAAAAGCAAAGCAGCTGGACACTATCTTCTCACCTCTACCTCAGGCTGAGGGCTCATTCTGTCTCTATGAGCTCTCACCAAGCCTCAGACTGTAAACTTTCATCAGCAAGGCTGGAGAATGAATGCCACTCTGAGACCTTGATTCTATCTTATATACTTCCCTAACATTTGGAGTAATGGTATGAGCTATAATTCTCTTTTAGACTGACTCACTCTTGTGTAGATCTGGGTGGTCTTTAATCTGTCTATCTTTAATCCTAAATCCTTGTGTTTAAGATGTATAACACCACCTCCTAGCTCCCAGCTGTGGGAATTAAATGTGTGTGCTTGGATTCTATGGCTTGTGACTGACTTTACTTTCCTGTATCCTCAGTCAAGCTTTAATAAATCATAAATAATATATCACTATACATCTTTCCATTGCATGCTCCTTTTCTTTAATTACATTTACTACAAAATACATATCTATTACATATTTTTTCTTTTCAAAATATATTGATCCATATAGAAATACAATGTCTACAAAGTCAACATGCCAGCAAAATGGATAATGCCTCAACAAATCATTTCCAACACATAGTTCACGAAGCACAAATATTTCTAATTAATAAAAAGTATAATGTCACTTATTTTTAATTTTCCTAAAAGACATATACATATACTGAGAAATATAGATAATCTTTATGAAATCATTGTTTTGACATCAAATGTATTAAAACTGTTATTGTATTACAAAATAAAATTAATAAAGGGCAAACAAATTTGATAAAATATTTCATGTATTAAGGACAATAGTTTTAGGTTAATTTTGTAAATTCTAAAATGTGTTACTATCATGTGTGTGCCTGGTGTGTGTACATGTAGAAGTGAATGGCATGGTGTGTGTGGAGGTCATAGGACAATTTCGTGGCGCACTTCCTTCTCTCCTTCTAGCTTATGTGGGTTTTGGGGTAGGAAGCTGGTGGGTGTCACACTCCCATAGTGGGCAGTGGATGCTCTTTTACTATAAGCCATTTGGCTGTCCCTAGGCTTAGTTTTAAAGGATGATGTGGAAAATTGTTTTTCTGGCGTAAAATTTATTAAGTGAGTGTAAATGTCAGTGTGGCAATACTCATTTATTTGAAGTTTATTTGTTTGATTCTCTTTCTATGATAATGATTCTTATCTAAAAGCCAAGGAATGTATCCTTCAAGATAAAAGGGAAAAAAACTGATCCAATGATTTTTATTTGAAAATTCTAGGTTTTGTAAATCTGAGGATTCACGGTCTGATGATATTTGCTTATCCATTCCTGTGTAACACTACATTGGCCACAGAAGTCATCTTTGTTTGCCTCTGACTTATGGGTCACATTTCAGAGAGCCTTGGCTGGCTGCTGAGAAATAGTTTCAGCTGGAATTCTGGAGATCAGGAAGTCCTCCTCTGCATCTGGCTCCTCCATGTCCCTGGACCTTTAAGTTTATTTTTCCTGAAGCAAATCTTCCAGAAGAGCGGTCATGTGGAACTCACGGCTCTTCAGAACATGGCAATCATGATATCTGGACTTCATATTTGGTGGGTCAGGTTCCCTGGAGTTGAAGGTAGAATAAGCTCCTGAGTCAGGCATGGAAACAGTCCTTTCTCCCACAGGCTAATATTCTAAGCAGTTCTGATCCAACACAGGTTCTGGGAAAGAGAACACAAAAACAAAACAAACAAGCAAAATAAAACCCGCCATATGAAGGAACTACACCTACTGGATAATTTTTTCCAGAACAATAATTGTTTAAAAAAAAAAGACATTTTTAAATGTGTCTGTTCAATGCTTCCTCCCAGGGAAGAGAGCTGCGTTAATTAACAAATGCCCCACAGTACACTTTCCAGTGAAGAAACTTCAGAGACCTGGATTCCCAAAGGCCAAAGCAAACACAAGCCTGGCAAAAAGTTACCTGAATCCCTTTAGCTGAGATGCAGAATGCAAGCTGTGCAGACTCCTTTCCCAACACAGAAAACATTATAGCAAACAAGGGATTTGAATTTAGATGTTTACTCAGCTTCTACGAGTCCTGGGCACTCTTTTGTTCCACATCTCTGCCAGGAGATCGGCTGTTTTTCTTATGCTTTGGCTCCCCACGTCCCCTAAGCTAATATGCAGACCCTGGCAAATTACAGCTTTCAGAACCAGAGCAGAGACTGTGGCTTGAGGGTAAAATTAACTCTACCCGCTGATTATGGACCCCCTCCCGGCTGTCCAAAACGTACAGTGGAAGGCTTCAAAAAGTATACGCACGCATGCACACGAAAATTTAGATGAACTTGGGAGTCAGTTAAAGATAGAAATTAAAAGCTAGGTAAATAAAGCAGAGGTTTCACATAAGACAGACCCCCAAATCGTATATTTTGACATGTAATGTATTTTGTGATCACTCCGTTTTTGTGCCTGAGTAGAACATCCTGTTTGCTATTTTCCATCTCTTATGTGTGTAGAAAATTCTTGGTGAAGCTACTGCAAGCCAGCATGTCACTTGTAGGTTCATGCATTTCCTCCTTTAATCTGATCACACATCTTTCAAGTTGTCCATGATTAATCTAAATGTAATAATAATAAAGTTACAGTGAGCCACTGACTGTTACAGCATTCCCATAACCCTTTTGATTGACTTTGAAAATGGTAGGTGGCAGAATATATTTTTAGATATTTACATGCACACGCTTAAACACACAGATGTACAGTACAAAAATCTATTCGTGTAAGATAAGTTACATTTGTTTTAATGTTGCTCTGCTGCACTGCCATATCCTTAAAAAATGAATTTGTCCTGATATTCACTTTTCTACCCTGTGGTACTGGTGTGCAGTATCTTCTGTAGAAAATGTCAACGTGTGCTAATTGAAATGTTTATAAAATTTTGATTCTGAAATATTAGAGCTTAACAGTCCAATAGTTCTTTAATGTGCCCTGTGTTTTATTAATGAAATGATTTATAGAAATATTTAATCTCACTGATTTACCATTAGCCTTAATGAGTCTAGTTATTAAGTACTGTATTTCCAAAGGCTATGAAAACATTCTTGGCAACTGTGGGGTATTCTGGGATGAGTTATTTTTGCCGAGATACAATCGATGCTGTGGGAAGCTCATTGCTCAAGTGCATCAGTGCTATTCATGAGTATATAACTTGATGACTCTTTCTGCAATTTTCATACCATGGCTTTTTTGCTTATAAGAAATTTAATATTAATTATGAAAACTATCCCAGAGAACTATTAAGCACATTTAGATGATATATTCATATATTTTCATATTAATTAAACAATACTCTGACAGCAAGCCATTTAAAAATACTTAAACTGATTCTTGAGCCGTTTGTAGATTTTGTCTATAGAAAAAAACACATTTATTTAGTTCCTATTGTCTGGAAAAGTGTTTCAGAACAGTGTCACCATTCTTTAGAGTCATCTTTGAACAATAAACCCAGGGCAGTAGATATATTAGGATAACTTATAACAGTAATTTCCTTTCCTATACATAAAAATCTCACCTTATATCTGAATCATTTAGCTACATGCTATAAAACCTATTTTCACTGTGCCAGTATGTAATGTGATCCACAGAATTTTAAAGATCCCTAACACATATGAGAGGTTTAGTGATATTCTATATTTTTTAATGATGAAGGAAACCATTTGTTTACTTCAGACACTTAAGAAAATCATTTCTTAGTGCTCACCTTAACACTCTTAGATCTGAGGAATGCTTGTATCTCTTTTGGATTCTAGTGAATATGGTGCATAATCAGTCTGTAGAAATAAACAAAACATGGTATCAGAGCAGAATAATATGTCTTGCTTCAAGCTATCAAAATGAGGTCCCAAACCACTCATCTGTTGAAAATGGCATTCAATGGATTTACTATTATCACTGTGTGTTTTCAACTTGTAGTATTAGTGTACAATATGTCATAGTAAGGAACTGGCAAGATACAATGACGTAAAATATCAGTATTATGTGGTTTTCCCCACCCAAATGGTTTATTTCCTCTCTCATGTTAGATTTCCACCACCGTGTAGGATTGTCTTTGCCTTATTTGTGGCATCTGGATATGAATTATGTGGGAGAGTTGATGATTAATCAGAAACTTGGGGATTGTATGAAAATCCCCTGTCAGCTAAATAAAATGCCTTCTAGAGTTTCATAAAAGTAAGTGAGGAGTAGTGTATGACATTATTATGAGAAAAACATAACCTCAAGGTTTTTATATAGATTTAGAAAGGAATTTAGAAGATATTGTATCCACTGGCAGCAGGTCAATAGCATGAGATATGAGCCTACTAATTTCTGAAGACTACTATCCTTTTCTAGGGTAGGCTTGCTTTTTAGTTATACTAAGTTCCTTGAACTAAGGAAGGGGCCATTTAACCTTGCAGCATTAACTATTTGATAACATGAGAAAATAATTTAATTTTGGCAAGTGCTGGTTTTATATTTTCACAATACTTGAAATTATTGAAGAGACTGAAGGCATTCAGTTGCTGGATATTCATGTTTGAGGCATAACACCTAACATTAGGAGGATTTTGTGATAAAGCAAAAAGAGTCATTATAATCTGTTAAGATATTTATAGTTATGTGTAAGGACTGAAAAGAAAACTCAAAACATAAATAAATGTAAATGTTTAGGTTGTTTGGAATTAATAATAAAGAAAGAATTTCCAAAGGTAAATGTATCCATTTACTTCTGCAGAAAATTAATATAAAGTCAGAGTTTTTAGAGAAGCTAATGTATACACTAAATGATGAGTTGTTTTTGAGATAAAATTTTGGGCTCTTGATTTCTGCTTAAGCTTACAGAGAATCCAGTGAAGAGCACATATACACTGTGTCTTGTACAAAATGAAACAAAATTAAATTGTAAACTATGGAAAAACACAATTAAGGATTAATAGATTAGGCTCATATGGCTTGGGGTTTTGTTTTTAATGTCAACAAACAAAATAATTACAAGTCAATGATTTTAAAAATTATTTTATTTTTGAGTTTTCAATATAATTGCATCATTTCACCCTTCTCCTTCTCCCCTCCATGTCCTCCTATATACTCCTCATTCCCCTATTTCAAATTCATAACACAATTTCCTTATGTTATAGCTAAATATGGTAAAGAGTTTTCATAACTTTGTTATGAGGCCTGACATGAACACAAATCTACTTACCTCCATTATTTACTGCAGTTAATATGAAGAGTCACAGATTTGCTAACAGAGTCTTAAGGTGTTATGTGATAATGTACACAACTTTTTGTATTTACCATTAATCAATACAGGTTTTGATATATTTGTCTCAACAATTTCATGTGAGATTATGAAACTGTGGTGCATCTGTAATGCCTTTGGTTAAAACAATGGGGATGACAAACTTTTATTGCCATATTATTCCCAGCATCTCTTTCTGCTGTGTATAATAATTTTGATGCTGGATCTGTAAACTGAGGGATGGATTGTAGCTGGAGACTGGTTTTTCAGATCATACTTGTAAAGATATTTGATTGTCTTTCTTTATTTTTTGTTTAGTTTGGAGGACTGACTTCAGAGGTAGAATGAATTAGGTTTAGATTTTATGCTTTACAGACTGTATGAGTTTATTCAAGGGTTTTGGCTTTCTTAGTATTTGGTATCACTTCATTGAGACATGAAGAATAAAAGTATAATAGTCTACATAAAGGGCTAATATAAAAACACCAAAATATGCATAAAGAAAATTGAAAGCCTCGCCGGGCATTGATGGCGCACGCCTTTAATCCCAGCACTCGGGAGGCAGAGGCAGGCGGATCTCTGCAAGTTCGAGACCAGCCTGGTCTATAAGAGCTAGTTCCAGGACAGTCTCCAAAGCCGCAGAGAAACCCTGTCTCGAAAAACCAAAAAAAAAAAAAAAAAAAAAAAAAAAAAAGAAAAGAAAATTGAAAGCCTCATTTAGCCATGACTTGAATAAATATTATATTTTATATTGATCAGCTAATTGTTCTGATCCATTCCTGTATTTAACAAACATTACCTCTTACCTCTTCAATAGAACCAAATTGAAAAACTAAGATAATATTACTTCAATGTATCCAAAACAAAAATGATTACAGCATTTTATAGTGTTAGACTAATTTTAGAAATGGGTATTTCTAGAATTCTGTATTGAAATAAAATCTGACTGTAGTGGTATATTATTTATGATTTATTAAATCTTACCTGATGATTCAGAAAGCAAAGTCTGCAACAAACTATAGAGGGCAGTAGGTGGTGACAGACAGCTTTAATCTCAGGATTCAGGAGATAAAGTTAGATGGATCTTTATTATTTCTAGGCCACCTAGGGATACATTAGAGTGAATCATTCTAAAGGAGAATTAGAGAACACACCTTTAATCCCAGTGGCCAGAATCTAAGAGGGGGTGGTATACACCTTTAATCCTGTGACTCAGGATTAAGAAGTAGATGGTTCTCTCTGAATTCAAGGCCACCAAGATCTACACAACACTGATCCAGTCCTAAGGAGAAAAAGCTCGCACAAATGATTGCAGTACCTTGGATAACACACCTTTAATCCAAGAATTTGGGAGGTATGTAAGACAGGAGCAAAGTCAGTATCAGGCATACATTCTCCAGACACATTGAGAATAGGAGGCATTCATTCTCCAGCCATGTGCAGAATAGGAATGCCCTAGCCATTTTAGAGGTAAGAGCTCTCTGGTAGCTTGATGGCATTGCTTGAGGTTGAACTCCAATATCTGTCTCTGTGTCCATGCATTTTTCTTGTTCTATCTAACCCTATCTTTGTCTTATAATCTATAATAATTTTGCTTAAAGTTCATGAATGTAGTTAGTATGATGTTCTATAATGAGATAATTTAATGCATGGTCTACAATTCCAATGTGAACAACTTCAAACACCCTTTATACTGATTTGCACCCACAAATCCAAAGAACACAGGTTCTTGCAAATCTACAACTATGTTTAAACAAAGTTATTAGGCAAGTATCTATCACTTATCACAACATGTCATTATCACTTGAAGGGAGAAAATTTAAATAAATATTAAAATAAACAAAATCATCCACTGAGTAATTTATTCATAGTTATCTTGAAACTTGAAGGACCAGATGGATCAGGTAATGCAGTACAATGAAAATTAAAGAATCAAATGTGTTTGATTCATTGGATATAGAAAACTAGAAGAAATAAGTCTGCTTTTTTGAGACAGGACTTCTCTATGTAGCACTAACTGTTCTACAGCATTCTATGCAGACCCAACTGTCCTAAAATTCCAAGAGATCCACCTGCCTCTGCTTCCCAAATACAAGAATTAAAAGTATACCCAGATACAATTAGGTTTTAAGCAAGTAGTTTTTTTAATCTGGCACTTCCTACATACACTCTGTTCAAATTTATAGATTTACTTTTACATTATTACTATTGATTATAATTATTATAAAATATTAATAAAATACATTTTACAGTAGACACATGCACACACATACATATGGACCCATGATAAGTCCATTTGACATTGTCCAAATACGTATATACTCTTGGGTCACAGAATTTGGTATCTGGTAGTAAATTAAGGAGTATATCTCTGGGAAATAAAAGTTCTCCTTTTTAAGGAGTCATTAATTCCTCATGGATCTTTATTTAGGTGTGGGGTATTGTGAGATTTCCCCCACTCTCAGTGACTTGTCCATTGGTATATTTATCATTCAAATGTTGCTTAGACATCCATGAGATGTCATGGGTACATGTGAAGGCTGTAAGTCTGCTCCCCATGTCTCAGCTGAACATGTTGTGTTGTATTGTAACAATGGGGGTTCAGCACTCCACAGTCAGATTCTCTCTCTGGAGGGGCAGGGTATATGCGAGTGTAAGCGTTGAGGTCAACGGAGTAGTGAATAATGGTCTTAGATGTCCCAGAGCTGGAGTTTCGGTTTGTATGAATCATTCATGACGTATATTTTGAGTGGATTTCGTGTCCTCTGCAAGAACAACGTGGGTCCTTTACTGTTGATCCAGATCCAGTCTATAAACCTCATCATTAACAGCACATGATGGTGGGAACTGGATGATGGAGATAGAGTAAATCCTGTATCGTGTGACTTGGTTGTACATGTCCTCTACCATTCTCCAAGCCCCACGATCTCTTTGTAAATCTCATTTTATTTTGTGTAAAATCAGCATATTATGGTTCCTAATTTATAGAAATTTTACTAAAAGTATAATTAATCAACCTTCAAATTTATATGAACTCCTTTCATTTGAAAGATCCTAGCATCTTATGCTATTGGTTATTTTGTTGCTTTATTTATTTGAAAAATGCAGGTGAATATATGAATGTTGGTAATTCTGGGAAGACTATAATATTTAAGAAAACTAGCAATCTTTAGGGATGTATCTGTAGATACGTTAATATGCACATCCATCACTAACACTATTCTAATTTATATTTTACATAAAACAGATACAATTTAATAAGAGATATACTCAGGGAGTAGTAGCAAACATGCTAAAAACAAGCTCATGGCATGATAGACTACTGTGTAAGGTCCTCAGGATGTGACCATATAAATGGATTTTTTTTGTTACTATCTCTGATTGTATCTTTGGGCTGAGGATGTGCATTCACCAGAAGGATTCAAACATGTTGGTCATTGTATCCATTTTTTTTCTCGCAAGAAGAAGACAAGAAAATTGAAGACAATCTACCAATTCTTCATCTGTCGTGGGACATGTAATTCTCTACAAGGAAATTGAAGCACATTTAGCAGAGAGAAGGGATGTCATGCAGAATCACAGAGTTCTTCGCTGTAGCTAATGACATTGTTCAAAAGAAAAGTTATCAAAAATATCATGTAGTGGTGGCCAACTCCAGTAATGAGTAACTAGTTTGATACATGGGTAGATTTTAGAGTACTATAGAAGATGATTTCAAGCTCTTTCAATTTTCCTATTTTCAATTTCATATTCATGTTGGGTGATTATCTTAAATTTCTATACGTCAGAATGGAGAATGTTTGCTACATTCACTGTCTGATGAATTATTTTATCTTTTGCAGTTCATGAACAAAATCTAAGCAATTTGAGAAAGTAAAACAACAGAATACTATTCTTTTTACTTACTATAAATATGTATGCCCCAACAGTTTTAGAGACTAGTGTAAAACATTGATGTATGATACTAATACGGTTTCTTCTTCCCATCATAATTGGATGCATCAAGGCACAGACTGGAGATGTTCCAGAAGTATCCTTATTTCTCATTGTATTATGAAGGTACATACATTTGCAATGCTGATGAAGTAGCCACTAAGCTACTCTGTCTGTTCTACAAAATAGATTCTGATAGAACACTGTTTGTAAGCCTTAGGAATTGCCTTTATTGCATTTACCATGTTATTTTTTTTCATTTTCCTCAAAGCATTGCCTAAGTCTGTAAGATCTGACTGTTCATTTTTCTAAATGTAAGATCACTTCATCTTGCATTGGCCCTTACCAACTAATCTTCACATATTGTCCTATACATCATTGTCTGAAAATCATTTATATCAGTATTAATAGGAATAATGTGCCCTTTCCTCTAGAAGGAGACATTTAAGTGACTATATCAAATACACATTCATGAGGATAACACTCACATGCTTTATTGTTGGAGATCATCACAAAGATCTTTGTGTTGACAACTGAGTAATTGTATAAATCTTCGTCTTCCTGTCCTTATTTGTAGGCCTGATTATTTCTCAATAACTTTTATTCTATACAAAACATGTTCCTTCTGTTGGTAATTAATGAATATTTAAATGACTGCTTTTTTTTCTGGTTCGAAGCTGTTTTCAGCAGCTGTTAAGAATCGACAAGCTCATTTAACACAGTGAAATCTCTTTTTGAAAGTTCTTTGATTTGTCCAGAGATATGTGATTTTATAATTTAATATCCCATGTGCTAACATCCAAGCATTATAGTTAATGAACTTAATGAATGTTGAAAACTCAAAACCTCAAACACATGCTATTTTCAAACATTGCTATCTATTTCAAATATTTCAATGCTCTGAAGCACATTAAAAAATCCCAACAGCCAAAATGCTTATTTTTCATTGATTACACAGAGTATGTAGATATATCCCATATACATAGCTGACAGTTTTGTTAGTACTTAAGAAAATAGATCTGTACTTTTTAATATATTTTTAAAATCTACTAAAATTGTTTTTGCTGGGTTAAGATGAATATATGAAGAAACATATTAGTAAGTGAAGACTCCTCCAGAACTTTGAAAAGGATTGCACAATTCTTCACAGACCTGGAAAGAATATTAATCAACTTTATATGGAAAAACAAAAGGCCCAGGATAGCCAAAACAACCCTATACAATAAAGGAACTTCAGGAGGCATCACCATATAACCATACCTGATTTCAAGCTCTATTATAGAGCTATAGTCCTGAAAACAGCTTGGTATTGGCACAAAAATAGGCAGGTAGACCCATGGAACCAAATTGAAAACCCTGATTTTAACCCACACACCTATGAACACATGATTTTTGACAAGGCAGCTAAAACTATACAACGGAAAAAAGAAAGCATCTTCAACAAATGGTGCTGGCATAACTGGGTACTGGTGTGCAGAAGACTACAGATAGATCCATGTTTATCGCCTTGTACAAAACTTAAGTCAAAATGGATCAAAGATGTCAACATAAATCCAGCCACACTGAAACTTTTAGAAGAGAAAGTGGGAGATACTCTTCAACGAGTTGGTACAGGAGACCACTTCCTGAACATAACACCAGTGGCACAGACACTGAGATCGACAATTAACAAATGGGACCTCATGAAACTAAAATGCTTCTGTAAGGCAAAGGACACAGTCAACAAGACAGAAAGGCAGTCCACAGAATGGGAAAAGATATTCACTGACCCCACATCTGACAGAGGGCTAATCTCCAAAATTTACAAAGAACTCAAGAAACAAGTCTGCAAAACATCAAAAGATCCAATCAAAAGGTGGGGTACAAAACTAAACAGAGAATTCTCAATAGAGGAGGCTAAAATGGCCAAGAGACACTTAAGAAAGTGCTCAACATCCTTAGCCATCAGGGAAATGCAAATCAAAACAACTCTGAGATACCATCTTACTCCTGTCAGAATGGCTAAAATCAAAAACACCAAAGACAGTTTATGCTGCAGAGGATGTGGAGAGAGGGGAATACTCCTCCACTGCTGGTGGGAGTGCCAACTCGTAAAGCCACTTTGGAAAGCAGTATGGAGATTCCTCAGGAAAATGGGTATCAATCTACCACAAGACCCAGCAATT